GGGGGAGGGCGGCGGGGTCGCGGGGAGGGTGTCAGTGCTGCTGCACCTGTTGGACGTGGTAGTTCTCTATCTTCTCCAGGAACGTCTGCGCGTACTGCGGCGAGTAGTACTGCACAATCTCCGGCGGGTAGCAGTTGTTGATGCTTTGGATGTACTCCGCCAGCTTCGAGCCCGGCTCGGCGCGAATGCGCTGCACCGTTGCGAGGCCGCGGTTCGCAACGAACTCCCGCTTTGCCGCGATGTCGGTGGGGAGCACCTTCGCAAACTGCCCGCAGACGTACTTGAGCACATTCTGCGGGGCGTCGGGGTGCAGCAGTGGCTCCAACGCCGGCAGCTGCACGCATCGCTGGATGATGTTCTTCAGCGCCCGCTTGCTCTTCGTGCGGAGGTCGTCGGAGCTGCCGGGGGCGAGGTACACGTCGAGCAGCTTGGGCAGCACGTTGCAGTCGGCCACCGCCTTGGCGTGGTCGGCGCTGTGGCGGCCAATCTGACCAAGCGACCACGCGGCTGCCGCCTTGATGTGGTCCTCCGGCTCCTTCTCCAGCGCTTGCGCGAGTGGTGCGATGCCGTGCGACACGATCACCGCCAGCGCAAGCGTCTCGGAGAATGCGGAGATGTAGCCGAGCGTCATGATGCCAGGCAGGCGGGCGCTGTCGCGGGACTCGCTCGTGTAGTCGACGAGCGCGCCAACACCACCGGCGTTCACAACGAGCTGCGCCAACTCCGGCGTGTGCTTTGCGATCTCGCGAATACACGTGGCGGCGTTCTTGCGCACCACCTCGTCGCTATCCTTCAGCAGTGCGAATATCTTCGGGAAGATCTCGCCCTCCACCACCAGCTCCGCCAGCTCCACGCTGTGCTTCGCGATCTGCGCGAGGCACTGGCACACCTGNCGCTTTAGCTTGCCGTCGTTGCTGGTAATGAGCGGGGCGAGGTGCGTCACGGCGTCCTGGTCGACCACCGCCTGCGCGAGCTCCGGCAGGTGCTTCGCGATATCCGACAGCGTCGACGCGGCGGTGCGCTTTAGCGACAGCTCCGGCTCCTGCACGCACAGCACCAGCGGGGGGATGGCGCCCTTGTCCACCACCTCCTGCGCGAGCTGCGCGTTGTGCCGCGCAACATAGCCGAGCGCCCACGCGGCGCTCTCCTTGACGGTCGGGTCGAACTCCTCAAGGCAGCCGACGAGCGCCTCCACCGCCTGGCTTTCCACCACCGCCTGCGCGAGCTGCGGCGAGTGCCGTGCAACGCTGCGCAGCACGTAGGCCGCCGATTTTTTGTAGAAGCGGCTCTGGTCGCCCAGGGAGTACACCAGCTGGGCCAGAATATCACCGGAGACGACGTTCTCGGCGAGCTCCTCGTTGTAGTTGGCGAGGCGGCCCAGCGCCAGCGCGGCGGACTGCTGAATGGACGGCACAGTGTCTAAAAGAAGGGGGCGCAGCAGCTGCATGACACCGGCCTGCTGCAGCGCATCAATGTGCTGCGGCTTGGAGGCCAAGTCCGCTACCGTCTGCACGAACTTGACGCGTGCCTTCTGGTACTCCTCAAACACCTGAATGATTTGACGGTTGGGCATCTGACGCTTCTTTCTTTCCCTCGACTGTCTCTCTCTCTTTCTCTTTCTCTCTCACTGTGTGTGCTTGTGCTTGTGTACACTGACCGCCGCTACTTTCTCTTGTTGCTCTTTGTTGTTGCTTCCTTGGCACTCCAGCGGTGTTGTGTATATCACTGCCCTTGTCTTCCCACACACGCTCTCTCTCCCTGATACTCTACAGCACACATTACAAAAGAACGACGGTAACAACAAAGAGAAGCGGCACAATGCAGAGCTCAAACAATAGCAGCAGCAAACCAGTAGAACACACTTGCACATACACATCCAGGCACACACAACACGCCCTGCCCCACCGCCAACAGCCCAGTCATCCAGCAGAGCACGCAAGCCATCTCGGCCGCTGAGAGCACACACTACACGGTGGGCCCCTGCAGGCCATGGTGCGCCGTGGCGAGACGTTTCTCGGTGTCAAAGAGACTCTCATTCAGGAGTAGCACCTCCGCCTCGTGCCGACACGCATCGGCAATCATCTTGGCCTTCATCTGTGCAAACAACTCCTTCACCTCCGCGTTGATCCGCGCCGTCGAGCCCTCCTGCAAGACGGCATCCACCTTCGCCCCCAGAAGCTTGTTGTACTGTGCATCCAACTGCTTCACGCGCAGCGCCAGAAGGGAGTTGGTCACCCCACCGGCACTGTTACGGATGCCGTCTTCCTTCTTCTTCTTTTCTTCTTCAACACGGAGCAGGCGGTCCTTTACTTGGCGTATCTCTTCCTCGCGACGCTGCAAGTCATCGCGAA